CAAAGTTCTGGCTGATCTCTGCGACGGGCTCCTCTCTCTCGGCAAGAGGGAACGCTTGATCAACAGTGGTTAGCAGCAAGTCAGGGCGATGAGCACAATCCTCAGTAGCACCGGCACCAACAGATAACATTCAAGGATTTGCCGGGGGTTATGCAGTGGAACCGGTTTGGGCTTGACAAGATCTGACTTTGCGAATCAGCCTTGTTGATCTTACCACAGTGCCGGTTGGGAGGTGCCAATATTATTACATTGCATCCAAGCTTCATCGAATCAGTTTCCAATAGCCCCCGATAGAACCTCATCGGTTAGTAGGAAGAGTTCTGACAGAGTAAGGATTTTGCGGTATCCGGTGCGCACGAGGCCAAGTCAACAGAGAAATAACTACCTTAGCATCTTCGACACGGAGTCCAACCTTTCCGCGAACTTCCAGAAGAAAAATTGTGGGTTTGATAGCGGTTTTCGTGATTGTGAGGATAGAGTTGATACGGCCTGGCCGATCAGGCTCGCGGTTTGGGTGCGAGCGCCATGGAGAATGAGTGTGAAGAAGAGATAGACCTCGAGGACCGACCATAATCGAATCGACCGATATTGCTCGCGAATTGAAAGATAAGCCATGACCGCCGCATCGGTTACGGCAGTTGCAGCGGCTGCTATGGTTGATGGTATTGTCAGGTGCTATCGAGGCAGCTTAATGGTAGAATTGTTGATTGAAAAGCACCAAAACATAGTATATATACTAGTTTCAGCACTTACATACTGGCTGCTGCTACTTGTTCTCATGAACGCTACAAAACGGTAGTCTTTACCGTGGCCGCTAGGAGCTGCAACATGAAGGGCGCCATGCTGAAGATGCATTCTCCAAACAGCTGGGTGAAGTCGAAAGCGCAGCGGCAACGGTCGACGCCAGGTCCGATACTATTTGTATTCCATCGAGCACTCAATGCCCAGTCATGCCACAGAGGCATGCGCCTCCGTTTCTATTGGTATTCGAAGCGTCTTAGAATAGCTGAATGCTATAGTCGAACGGGTCGGGTCGAGTTGTACATCAAGATTTGGCGAATTGCGGAATCATGAGAATCGAACGACCCAGGCAAATCGTAACGACTGTTCGACGCAGCATATAGGCAAATACTCTAAGCTAGACGAAATCTGCTCGATTCTATGGTTCCGCCTGAGTAAAAGTCAATCAAGTTTCATCATGAGCCGCGTCTACACTGACCTGATGCGGGGTCGTTGCTTAACGTGTCCGTGCACCTCGTACACGGATTCATCTCGTGCACGCCGAACACTATCTTAGCGATCTCAAAAATGAGGCTGTACAACGCCACATAATAGCTTAATATTAATAAAAACGTAGTATAGCAGTAATTAGATGCTTACGATTAACTTGAACTATCTATATTTTTGTGGGAGGTTGACGTTGCGGCCACGTGATGTGACTTTGGCTGGAGTAGCAGATAGCTTATCTCTAGCTTGAACACCAGCGTGAGCAGCGCTAACGCGTTTTTAACGCTTATTACTTAGTAAGAGTACTTGTAAGGCTTTACGCTTATGTTGTTAAGCTTATTGGATAGATTTTTTCTAGTGTTAAGCTTCAACTTTGCGCGCGCGTTCAGCTGCTTTCTTAGCTCGCTTAACCTCCCTTATCTCTTTAAGCCTTTGCCTCTCTACACGCTTCTCCTCGAGCTTAACTTAACGCTGCAGTTAAGCCTCCTTACGCTGCTTCTTAGCCTATGCTTTTTAGAGTTTCTCCTCCGTCTCATCTCGCTCCCGTACTGCTTCTCTAGCTCGAGCCTTACGCAACTTGCGAGGAGACTAGAAGACAAAGCTACCGTAATACTCCTAGCGCTATTAAAGGTTAAGAGCTTTGCACTTCTTCCTGTGTTTCTTTTTATGTTAAAGAGCCTCCTTTAAACCCTTATTCTTATGCTTTAAAAGCTTATTCTAAACAGAGAGATAGTGGACGCTTAAACGTAGCTTTCTTGCCTTATACTAATAGCTATTAGTAACAGCAGCTCGAACTAATTAATCTATCTTTCTCTAATTATAATTAGAGAGCCCTAACGATAAGCTTCTCTTAGCTTCTAGCGTGCTAGCAAATCTACGAAGAATAACGTTAGTATCTTTTAGCTAGATCCTAGTAGCTTCGAAGGCCTTTAATATAAGGTTCTCTATAAAGGAGGATATCTATACGCTCTAGAAGAGTAGGAAGAAGTCGCCTTTCTTAATTAGGACGAGGCCTTAAGCCTTATAGAGATAATTAGTAAGCTCGTTAGAGTAGGCTTAAGAGAGTGGCTTAAATAGCACTACATCGAGCGGCTAGAGCGTGTAAGTCGAATAGGGAGGAAGGATTATAAGGAGAATCCTATAGCGATCGCAGTACTTAATAAACTCTATTATAATATAAGATCTATAGCTATTAAGAATAAGTAATCTCTATCTCCCTAATCGCTGCTTTATACAGTAATTAAATACCTACTTAAGCTAAGCTAGACTAATGTTATTATTTAACTAGCCTCTTAGAGATAATGAGACAAAGATATTATGTTCTCCTGCCTTAATATCCTCGATCTAACTTAATCGTATAGCTCCTATTAGCGCAGTAGTAGGCTAGGACTGTTAGAAACTCGCGTGATCTATCCTAGAGAGATACTTGAACCTCCTTCTTCTCCTATTAACGCCTACTAAATATTCTCTTACTTCTACCTATTAAGCTAATTAAGAAGCCCTTCTTATCTATATTGTATATATCTTGAGCCTTAAGGTAGTATTTAGTAATCTTTTAATGCAACAGCTCGAAGTAGAGTCTATACTTTAACTTAGAATTAGCTAGGTGGCGCATACGATCTATGGCGCTAGTCTACTTTAAGATAAGATAGATCTCGTGTCGGTTAATAAAGCGAGTAACCTAGCTCTCGCTGAGCTGCTAATAGGCTACTTCTAATAAGAAATTCCTAATCATCTCTCTTGTAGGAGGAAGGCCTCTCTCTGTAAGCGTTTTAATATATCTTATAAGCTCTAGCTCTTGTTGTGGGCTGATAGCTTGCTGCTAAGCGTATCTATTACTCCTAGGCCCTGTCACGCGCCTCCACCTCCGCGATAGAGTTGCGCGGCTGACACCCTATTTCCTCGTAAACTCTGCTAATACAAGTTTTTCTCCGGGTTCTTGCGACTCTAAATCTGCAATCGCATCATCAATTAGAGCCATGGTTGTTAAGTTATAGCGCGTTGAAGTTATGACGCTGAGACGCGCGTTTGGTGTTCAGCGTGCACGAGATGAATCCGTGCACGAGGTGCACGGACACGTTACCAATCGCGGCCTGTTCACTATCTGGCGAGTTCCCGGAGTCCTATCACCCCCAGTAACAGACTCATCCGGGAATTCTCTTCGCTGTTGAGTTGAGACGAGACCAAGGCTGGTGTAATCCCCAGTAGGATTTTACCGAGCTAGTGCTGACTATGAGGTGGAGTTGTCACGCCTTCAGCAAGTTAACGTGCACCGCACCTGCATCCTTGGCAAGGGTCAAGCGCGCCTATACATGCAGGGATCTCTTAATCTCCCGCATTACTGAGTCTTACCGTTGCTTCTCTATGCCAAGAAATGTGCTTGCCGTGGACCGCGCATGGGCTGCAGACCATCGTCAGCCCGCAGCAGCCTTCAGACGCGGGGCCGCATGCCCTGGAAACGCACGCCAATACTATCTACTCTACGTTGGAGGTAAGGCAGACACCAGCAATAGAGTCAGCATGGCGAACGTGATACCTAGGTACCTAATTGGATAACGGCGCTCGCGGGCCGCAGACCATGATCAGCCTGCGGCAGCGTGCAGATGTGGGACCGCATACGCCGCATAAATACATCATTCATAGATTGTTGGGGATTACGATGGACGACCCCATGTCTCTGCGGCTGATGACGACATACGACGAGTGAGCTCCGACTTGCGTTATTTGGTTTCTGTAGATATGCTTAGCTCTTTCTACTGAAGAATTTATGTCTTTACGACGGAAGCCGATCTCACATGTTAATGCATTGGCATGGGACTGATAGAGTTCATTGTAACAGAAGATCTGGAACCGAAACGAACCAGGACTTAGGCGTCCAGCGGAACCCACTGCACTGCTGACAGGATAATCATGTCCTAAGGACTTATTCAGTATCAACTGCATATACCCGTTGCTTCCATTTGAAACCAGCTCTTGCACATGGACTGGCAATTTCACGCCCCGTTACGCCCTGCAGCAATCAAGTGGAGCGAAAGTGAAGCCAGGTAGACCAGTGCCGCAATGAAGTTAGTCAGAGAGTTTTTTGATAGGCAGATCATCTCCAATCAGATCCCAGATACATGGCAAGCTACTGTTGTGGAAAAAGTGGCTGTACATACCCGAAACTACGTGAGGGCAGTACGGGCGTAATGACGCCCACTATGCAGTTAAGCGGTACTCGGGGTAAACAGGGGTGCTCCGCGGACCCACACAGTGCAGAAATGCTTAGTACATGCGCCGTAGCCATGTTGATCTGCGGCACAGTAGCTTTCAGACAAGAACTGCGTCAAGCCATTCCAAGGTTCTGTGGAAGCTTGTTCAAACTGTATCAGGGTGTCATGTCGCGTCTTGGTCTCGCGCTCCGGTATGAGAAAGGTCGAAAGAAGAAGATCGATATGAAAGAGCAGTTTCCTTCTGAATCCCTGTCTCCAAACCCCAGAGTTTTCCTACAGTATGTATCCAGGATGTTTCCGTTCTTAACATAATCAATACCAATAGAGGCGTGATGAGCAGTGGAGCCAACACATATGACACCATCCTACAGGGCTTCACGTTTTCATATAGTTAGTACTGGTAGCCTGAAAGTGCTAGATCACTCCACCATGGAACGATCAATTGTGGAAACATTGCCGCATCCTTCAAATTCAGCCTGAATGACATTGAGAGCTTTTCGAAACAATAACAATTGTTGATATCTGGAAAGGAAGATACTCATGATAGCGTACGTAGTTTCTGTGGCTTCCGGAGAAAATGTATCACATCAAGTACGGGCATGCTCCCTCATTGTCTTCGCTCTAGGTCATGAAAAGACAAGGTCGCCTACCTGGACATCACGAAGAGACGGAGATACACCATGACGAGAAAATGTGGTAAATGAATGTGATTGTTATGAATAGTGAGTCTAGAGGGTTTGCTACCTCCAAAACGAGCGTCATTCATGCTAACTCAATTCCGCTGCAGGTTATAGCCGTGTATGGCACATCGCCCACAGGCAACTGTCACCCCGTACTCGCCTTCTACTTGCAGATCAAGGCACCGTTAGCGCCACCCTGCTGGCAAGCTACGAATTCTTGTTAATACCAATCTAGACAACAGGTCGCGTAGAAGATCACTTACTTGCAGTAACAACGTAGCCCTGCTGGTAGAACTTGCAAGAATCTCCAACTCTGTGTCGGCAGTTATTGGGGCAGTTGCATGCATTGGTGGCATCTGGGGCGATGAGGACGCCCCTGACATCGTTGTTGGGCGCCTCCATCTCAGTGCCCGTCATGGCTGAAGGGGCAGCGGCAGCCTGTGCGGCGAAGAAGGCCACGGTGGCGGTAGCGATAAGAGACTTGAAGAACATCTTGGGGTTGATTGATGATGGAACTGAGGAGTTCGGGTTTTGATGTTGGTGGTAGATGGTTGAAGTGCTGATGGTTGTGTGCTGAGATTCTGGGAGAGACCGACGCCTTCTTATCTTCTTTCAACTCTCAGATATCGGCTGATTACATGGAGCATGAGGCAAACGGCCGTAGGCTTTCACGTCAACGTTTGGGTATTGGGAGTCCGTTCATTGGTGGGTAAACAACCAAGACTCTACTTGCTGACCGACCCATTCGTACTCGCATGTTGATTCTTCGCCTTGATCCTCTAGGAATCATAAATTGCTAGAGTCTAGGGCTTTAAAACGCCCCGTGATTCCAGGCGCCCAAAAGTTTCATGCGTATATCGATCCTATGCACCGCGAGCTCATTTTCCAGGAGAGATTTAAAGTCGCGAAAGCTCGGAGGAACGCTGGTCAACATTGTGTAATCCATGGTTCTTCAGTTTACCTACCAGGAGCGAGTGCTGAAGTAATTCAGTCACATGATTTTGATCAGAGCTCTTGCGAGCCTTTTCGACAGTTCCTTCGGGATGAACGGAAGCGCGTGTTACAAGCCTGCCTAAGCAGATTTACGCCCTGCTCGGCGACAGTCCCACCGCGGTCAAAATATGATGTCTTGTGGGGGCGTAGAATTCACTATAATCCCTATGTTACGGTGCTTGGATCCTCCATCCGGAGTGGACCGTCACAAGCAAGGATCTGCAGTACCCATGCCAGATGCAATACCAGGTACAGTATCCACACGTGAAAATAGAGCTGGTGCCTTCTAAGCGACGGTTCATTACCAGACACATGCATAAATCTTACACAAACTAATTCAGCCTTCCTGGTCGCAGGGCAATTTGTCTTACAGGGGCACCCTTACAGTGAGGCATTTGATTGCTGATCCTCTTGCTGCTTGACTGGACTACACCCTAAGACAAGACTTATTTAGCTCCAAACAACCGCCATGACAGACCTCGTTCTTACTTATATGACACATGAAGCAATATAAACTCGGTCACCGAAAAAACAGGAGCAACTAAAATTCAGTATCATAATCTAGAGGCACCAGGAGTCAGGGATGCAAGAACCCGAGACATAGAAAGCCGAATAGCCGTCGGCTTCAAAGACCTAACGATATATCGCCCGGATTCCCTGGAGTTGCTACATGCTCGCTTCGATAGAAGTGCTATTCCTGCTATAGTCGTCTCGGCACTATGGGCTCACTCAGCAAGGCGAACATGTCAGCAACGGGTGACTTTAGTGACGAGGGAAGTGAGGAAACGGGATGGAACTCCTCCAGTACATCGAGCGAAGAGAGCCCATTGGCAGTTACGCCATCTGCCCGTGAACGATGGAGAAGTTGGGGGGCTGGGGTGCCCTTCCGCAGACTACGACTACCGAGGCTGAGCAATCCGAATCATACGATACGAAAGAGGAGATGGCAGTGGTGCAAGTATATTCTGATGGTTGTTGGTTTGTTGGCGGTCTTTGGTATCATCGTAGGATTGTGGGTAATCCTATGTTCGCATTCCCGTGTAAATGACTAACTTGAATCAGCGTGTACATATTCCTTGTTGCCGCCCTCATTCATGAGCTTGCTCCTCCACCAAATCATAGCGGTCTTCAACACATCGTTGAGAGCTGGACGCTGCCGGATACGAATGGTGCTCACGAACTCACTTGGCGAGACGACTTCAGCCGCGACATCGTGCCCAAGAAATGTCATTCACATAATGATTACTGGCGATCTGTGCCGCTCTATAGTGCACTTGCAGCGGGGTGTACAAGCGTCGAAGCAGATGTATGGCTGGCGGAGAATGGAGAGCTGCTTGTGAGCCATTCCTTGGAAACGACTACACAATTGCGGACATTGAAAACTCTTTACCTCGATCCAATAGCGTGGATCTTTACCAAACGGAATATCTCCCAGGCATCTGTCCATAAAAGAGAAATTGGTATTTTCGATGCAGACTCGGACGCCTCCGTCATTCTGCTGGTTGACTTCAAGAATGACGGCCATGCAATCTGGCACACGCTCATGGCACAGCTCCAGCCTCTCCGCGATAAGAACTGGCTTACGTACTACGATGGCAAGGACATGTATCGTGGACCGCTCACTATCGTCGGCACAGGCAACACACCTCTAGAGTTAGTCCAGTCGAACACCACGAATCGCTTTGTTTTCTTCGATGCCCCGCTTCTTTCTGTGATTTCTGGAAACACTAACACTACTTTTGACTTGACCAACTCGTACTACGCCAGTGTCAGTTTGAAAGAAGCCATCGGCAAGATCTGGTTTAATCGACTGAGCGCGGAGCAAGAGAAGACTCTGAAGACCCAGATTGGAATGGTGAAAGGGACGGGGTTACAGAGCAGATACTGGGATACTCCTGGTTGGCCGATAAGTGTGAGGGACATGTTATGGTTCAAGCTCACGGAACTAGGGGTGGGAGTACTTAACGTTGATGACCTAGTGTCTGCAACTAAGTGGAATTGGCATAAGTGTATTATCGCAGGTCTAACCCTCTGCTAAGCGAACTAGAGTAGTTTATTAAAAAAAAGATGTAACGTACCTCACGGCTTCGCCGCCCACTTTTACCAAGCCCCTATCAAAACCACCCCATTCTGGCGTCAAATAGCCCACTTTGGCCCTATATAGAATAATGTGACCTAAGATATTATTTAGAGTCTACTTCTACGACTTGCTTACACATACGCACGTTATGCCTAGTCTAATTACACCGCCCGCAGCGCCTTTAAGTTAACTCACCTCCTTCAGCCCATACTTGCGTCTTTAGCTTCTTTCTATTACTACGCGTCCTAAACTCCTCTAGAGCCGCTAGACAAGCCCTATCCTTAACTATTAAGGTCTCTTCTACCTGTTACGGATCCATAGACTCGCTCGGCCCATGGCCCCCATATCGATAAGATCCTTATCTTATCGGACTAGCGCCTTGGCGCCCACAGCATAAGTTCGGGCTCACAACGTAGATAGCTCGATAGCTTGTATCTTGTCAAATCCAATCTTTCTTGATCGATCCCTCACATTATACAAGCTCCCTTTCAAGACGGGCCCTGGAAGCTCGTTCGCGAATTGTATTTTCTTGTCGCTGCGAGCGACACGCCAACGACAGAAACACTTACGCGACGAGGATCGCATTGACTATACGTACCGCCGCAGAAGAGCCGCCGTAGTAAAGACACCTGATTGCCCAGCTGCATAGCTGTACCCACCTGCCAGAAAAGACCCGCCGCCGCAGAGTGCCGCCGCGGAAGACACTGGATTGCCCAGCTGCATAGCTGTACCCACCTGCCAGAAAAGATCCGCCGCCGCTTCTAGCGCTGCCGCCGATGATGGCCCGACTAAACGAGACGAGCAAGGATGCCCACGACCAGGGTGCTCAGAACGACACACAAACCATTCCAGCAGAGTCGCACCTTGAGTACGGCGACTTTGAGAATGACGACGACCTCACCGAAGCGGAGAAGGCGACTATTAGACAGAAGTTCGCCACCCGCAAGAGACAGGTCACTTTTGGCCGTGGAGACGGCCAAGGCAACAGCGAGGACGAGGGCAATGACGTCAACGCCGCTGAACGCCGACGACAGTCTTGTAGACAGTCTCTTAAGAAAGCCGTTAAGCCAGCGGATAAGACTTCTATAGAACTAGGCTACGACGACGACACGGATGACATGTATCTACGTTTTTATGGCATCCACGACAGCGATGAGCGCGAGATCCTCGCGGACATGAGGAACGTTGACGACTTCACCGCTTGCATCGCTGAACATGCTGAGAGTGTCTTTGGACACCTAGCAGATTTGCTTAGTCAGATAGCTGAACAAGCCGAACAGCTAGACCAAGCACATAATGAAGCCCGTGTACAACAAGAAGCAGCTGACGCCCGCGTGGAGCGCGCCCAGACGCAAGCTCGCGCTGCCGCCGCAGACGAGCTTGCCCAAGTCACCCAGAAATGCAACCGCATGATCACTACTAAGAACAGCTACGCTTCACGGCTAGCAGTGCTCGAAGACGAGCTTGCAGCCTCGCGCGAGTCAAACGTGAAGCTCTACTCCCAGATTAGCGACCTCTACAACGAGAGGAGTGTCCTGCAACAGCACGCGGGCGTCCCGACGAATGGAAATTTATATGACACGCGCCCAGCTCAGTTCCAGTCGTCCCCTCCTCCAATGACTGCGAACCCGTTCATTGGCACTGGCACTCACGACTTGATGCTGCCTCCCCCTATGGCACATCATCAGAAAAACCGACCCCTAGCTCGGTCTGCTGTATCGGACAACCTCACTGCAACGGGTGCAAAGCTGAAGGATATTGACATCTTTCGCGGAGACAGCACCGACAAAGAGGACTACAAGTATTGGCGCCGCAGCGCCAGGAACTTCTTAAACAAAACTACTATCCACACAACTGTTCAAGATCAGCTCGACTACCTGATTGACCACTTGCGAGGACCAGCCGCTGCACAGGTGGAATATAGAGCAGCACCCGGAGCTCGTAACGCCTACGTGACAGCGGAAGAAGTCCTCACGGAACTTGATCGCATCTTTGACACGGTCGACAAGGTCACCGAAGCCAGCGCAGCGCTACACGACAGCGGCTCTGGAGGATTAAAGCAACGCGACAATGAATCGTTTAACACCTGGGTAGCCCGCTTTACCTCTACAGTCGCACCATTGAACCTGGGCGACAACGAAATGATCCAGCACGCGATCCGACTCATGAAGTTTGGTCGTAACGCAGGTTTACAATTCCGCCATGGTGATACTTGGGAAGCGTTTGCCCAGAATTGCCGCACTCAGCAACAGCTCTCACGTCTCACCCAGAGCAGCGGAAATAATGGTACCCGAACCGGCCGCAACACGTCTAACGCTGGTGGTGGAGGTAATGGCAACGGCAACAGCAATAGCAGCGGCTCCACAACGCGTAACAACTACGGTCGCACGCGCGCGCAACTCAACGCGTTGAGTAAGCAAGGCGAGTGCTTTAAATGCGGAGGCACGGCAAATGTCAGCGGCAAGAAACATCGTCCGACCGACGCAGACGTCCCAGCAGCCTGCAAGTCTGGCTCTATCGTGCCAGCTAGCCGCGTCCCTGCCCTCAAAGCTACATTCACCAACGCCGCCCTCCAGGCCACAGTCGTCGATGCCACCGACGAGTCGGAAAACTAGCCGTCCCCGGCGAAAGACGCCCCCGGGGACCGCACCAAAATGGTCCACAGATACAGTTACAGTCACAGTCAAAGCCACAACTACCAGTCCAACCCTTGTTAGCGATACCCCCTATTGTTTCACCGACCCTTGATACCCAAACTACCCCGCTCACCGGAGCTACACCTAGCACTTTACGCGTTTGTTTACAAGAATTGGAGGACTGGACGCCTCCCCAGGCTATAGAGGACAGACACGTTGTCTTGAGCGCGAACACTATGGTCAAAGGCAAGCAGCTTGTCCAAGGCCAGGAGTTCGTTTTCAAGTGCAAGGTCGCCACTTCGAATAGCTATATTGATACGGAAGCTTTGACTGACTCTGGTGCTACTGGAAACTGTATCTCCACACTATTTGCGCAACGACATAACCTGCCGACGTTTCGGCTTAAACAACCTTTGCAACTACGACTTGGCGACGGCAATTTCGCCATGGCGCCTATCACACACGGCGTCCTAGCCCCCATCTCCCACGCTGAACACGTTAGCGAGGAACTCTTCTACAGTGTACCTATGACGACTTACGACTTTATTTTCGGCACTTCATGGCTAGAAGAGCATAATCCACACATCGACTGGAGGGAAAAAACTATGCGTTTCAACAGCGAGCATTGCTACGCCAACTGCCTACACAAAGGCGAGCAAGTCACTGTTCGCAGCAGTCGACACCGACGGGCCGCAGCAAAAGCCAAAGAACGGAACCCGACCTACGCGAACATGGACATACACCATGTGTCAGGTGAGGCCGCTGCCGCACTGGCATCACGACCAGAGAACGGTGCTATCTGGCTGTACCCACATGATTTTGAACAACTCGACAAAGATGACAGCGATGACGCCGACGAGAGAGCCCAGGCTAGCCGCGTCTTCGCCTCACTATTTGCCATGGACATGAACGCCCTATCTCAGGAAGACATTGATAAGTTCCACCAGAAGCTGAACTCGCCCGCTAAAACTCGCGACGAGGTCCTAGACAAGTTGCCCGAATGGCTCCACGATCTCGCCCACCGATTTAATCCTGATCCCGCCACGACAGACTTGCCCGCTCGACGAGGCGCGGTCGACCACAGCATTGACATTATCCCCGGATCAAAACACCCAAACGCTAAGATGTACGGCATAAGTAAGGACGAAGGCCTTGCCGTTAAAGCTTATGTTGAGGACATGAGAGGACGCGGTGAGATCCGTGAAAGCAAGTCAGACTTCGCTTCGCCTGTGCTCGTCGTCCGCAAATCTGGAGGTGGACTCCGCATTTGCGTGGACTATAGAGAGCTCAATGCCGTCACTATCAAGAACAGGAACGCTCCTCCGATGATTAAAGAAACGCTCGCGCGGCTAGCTAACGTCGCCTACTTCACCGTGGTCGACGTCATCGCCGCCTTTAACAAAATCCGCATCAAGGAAGGCGACGAACATAAGACTGCCTTCCTAACACGGTATGGCCTATTCGAATACTTAGTGATGCCTTTCGGACTCTGCAACGCACCAGGTACCTTTCAGGCCTACATTAACGAGGTTTTACGCGATTACCTTGACGAGTTCTGCTCTGCATACCTCGACGACGTCCTAATCTACAGCGCGTCTTTGGCAGAGCATAAGGTTCATGTCCGCAAGGTTATCGAGAGTCTAGGTGAGGCCGGACTTCATCTAGACATTGACAAGTCCGAGTTTGCCGTCCAAGAGGTGAGATACCTGGGCCTCATTCTTACAACTGAAGGCATCAAAATGGACCCCGCCAAGGTTAAGTCAGTGCTCGACTGGGGCACCCCAACAACATTGAAAGAGTTGCAAGCATTCCTAGGTTTCGCAAATTTCTACCGAAGGTTTATTGTTGCCTTCTCTTATATCGCGCGGCCGCTCACGGATCTTACCCGCGGGACAAACGGCGACGTCAAGCTGAACTTTCCTATCGCCCAAGGATCTGCTGCCCACGACGCATTCGAAAAGCTTAAGAAAGCATTTACCATCGCCCCGGTCCTCGCGCACTTCAACCCCGCGCTTGAGACCTGGGTCGAAACAGACTCCTCCGACACCGTCACAGCAGCCGTGCTGTCCCAAGTCCAGACTGACGGAGTGCTAAAACCAGTCGCTTTTATCTCCACAAAGATGTCACCAGCTGAGTGCAACTATGCCATCTACGACAAGGAGCTTATGGCCATCGTCCGCGCCTTTGAGGAATGGAGACCAGAGCTGGCCGGCACCTCGGACCCGGTGAAGGTCATCTCAGACCATGCCACCTTACAGACCTTTATGGTCAACAAAGCACTCAACAGGCGTCAAGCAAGATGGGCTGAGTTTCTGAGCGAAT